TTTTTTGAGGCAGAGTTTTGCTCTGCCCAGACTGGAGTATAGGAGTATAGTGGCACAATCTCGGCTCACTGCAACCTCTGCCTCCTGGGTTCAAGCGATTCTCCTGCCCTCGGCCTCTCAAGTAGCTTGGATTATAGGTGCTCACTACCATGCCTGGCTAATTTTTGTATTTTTATTAGAGAAGGAGTTTTGCCATGTTGGCCAGGCTGGTCTTGAACTCCTGGCCTTGAGTGATCTGCCTGCCTTAGCCCACTTTTGCTGAGATTACAAGTGAGCCACCATGCCTGGCTTAATTTTCTAAAGTAAACTGAATATATTGAAATATTCACTGTCTAAACATAATGACATCAAAATTAATTTCTTAGTATTTCTGAGAGCTCTTGACTTTCAAAATATATAAATTTAACTGTCATAGTTATAAAATAATTTAAAATGTATTGAATCTCAACTACCCTAAATAAGTATGAACTAGAATTATTAACAATCACTCTACTATTCTGTGATATAGGACCTATTATTATCACCATTTTATAGAACACGAAGCTGAGTTTCATTGCTCAAAATTATAACGTTATCATTTATTGAGCACTTACCATAGTAAGGCACTATATTAAAAGTGTTTTGCCTTGTATTATGTAACCCTTTCAACAGCTGTGATTCAGTTACTTGCTCCAATTTACATATAGGATAGGCTGATAAGTAACTGTCCCAAGATTACAAATATGCTGAGTGGCTGAGCAAGAACTCAAACCTACATGTGCTGATTTCAAAGTCCGTAATCTACTATGACAATAGAAACATTTTCAAGGCAATAGAGAAAGCTCTCTTCTTATTCTATTAGTCAATAATCCATAGCTTTAAATCTTTTTCTGGATAGGTTAACAAATTAAAGATGTTAAAAGAAACTATTCCTTCCCTTTTGTTTTCAACTTTTCCTGGTTGAAATTTAATTAGAAGCAGTACCCTAACATACAAAAAGCTCTGTCTCCAACACCACCCAAAAGCTAGAGCTCTAACTATGCAGGCATTGCAGCTATTGAGAAAACATTAGGTAGAACAGAGTGAGAAGTGGAGTTTATGAAGGAGTTGTAAAAACTGTCAATAGCTTAGGGGTAAGAATTCCACATATTCCCAGTTTCCTGACAGGTACCCTGATCCCACTGCAAGTTACCCTTCACTAGTCTAAATTTTTCTTACCTTATTGACTTTTACACACTCACTCTGAAATTTCACCAGTAAAATTTTCATTGACATTAATAAACCCTTTTTTTAAAAAAAAGATAAAAACTTTGGAGATAACATCAGCCATTAACAAATTTGTATAAATTTATGTAAGGATAGATTTCTTCCTTTAAAATGAGTTAAAAAGAGTACCCTAAGGGAGTGAAAAGTTTTACTTGGAGATGAGAAAGCAAGTACCTCTGAGACTCAAAGAACTTAGAGGGATTCAGTAGGCCTGCACTAGATGCAGCAGTGCAAGACCCAGGAAGAATGACTGCCCTAGGTTATGTACACTAGCTAAGGGCTGGGGAGTATGTTGATAGAGGACCTACTGCAGAATTTTGCCCATATTGGGATTTTGCCAATGGAATAAAGATAACTTTATTTTCTACTGACTTCTCGGAATGAAAATCTATGGGTTAAAAAAGCTTTTTGTGGTTAAACTGAGAAAATATTAAAGTAGTTTCTATACGGAAAATTGGGGTTTAGTATGACAATCGACCTAACCCATAGTTGAAATGGAGATTAAAGGTACATTTTTTTTTATTTTATGTTTTTATTTTATATTTTATTTTTTTTTATTTTATTATTTTATTTTTTTTATATTTTATTTTATTTATTTTATTTTATTTTATTTTATTTTATTTTATTTATTTTATATTTTATATATTTTATTTTATTTTATTTTATTTTATTTTATATTTTATTTTATATTTTATTTTATATTTTATATATTTTATTTATTTTATTTTATTTTATTTTATTTTATTATTTTATTTTTGAGATGGAGTCTTGCTCTGTCACCGGGCTAAAGTGCAGTGGCGCAATCTCTGCTCACTGCAGCCTCCAACTCCCTGGTTCAAGCAATTCTCCTGCTTCAGCCTCCCAAGTAGCTGAGATTATAGGCATGTGCCACCACCCTCAGCTAATTTTTGTATTTTTAGTAGAGACAGGGTTTCATCATGTTGGCCAGGATGGTCTCAATCTCCTGACCTCGTGATCTACCCACCTCTGCCTCCCACAGTGCTGGGATTACCGACGTGAGCCACTGTACCCAGCCAAAAGTACATATGTAAGTTATAGACACACTTTAAAAAAATAATTTGGATTTAGCGAAAAGTATTACTTCTTCCTTCTTCCTTTCTTCTAACAGTTTGCTTTATCTTCTTCAATCCTGACAACTGCAGAGTGACTTAAAATAGCTGATTTTCCCAACTATCCTGAATGTCAGTATATGACATGCTATGAGTTTTTATCCCTAACTGCCAATTAACTCTGTCAAAGTAAAGTTTTTAAGAATGAAGATATTCATATTAAATAACTAGGTATAAAATGTTCTTTTCTAACTGGTAACCATAAATGGTACAAAGTACCTATAAACAAAGGTAATTCGACTTTTAAAATACGTAACAGATAATAGTTAAGTTTTTAAAATAAAGTTATTACTTTCAATTAGTTATAAATAAAATTATTACCTTCAGATAGTGGCTCAGGTTTAAATTCCAGGCCTCAAGCATTCTACTAACCCCATAAATGTCCTTTCTCGTCCACTGAAGTTCTTACTTTTGGGGTCACTAAATCGTGATAGCTGTAGCCTCATTTATGTGAAAGCTTTGTGTCTTCACAGAAGCATTTTCTCTGTAATGAGAAGGTATTTAATGTATAATTTATTTACATAAAGAAAATTATTAGATTTTGTTATGCAGGTTTTATTTTAAAATAACCATTATCAGCCTGGTGTGGTAGAATCATCAACCGAATAGAACTCAGTTGAATAAAACTAAAGACAAGAAATGACTTTACAGATAATTGCATGTATCTTGGGACAGGTAGCAATCTCTCTGTGTCTGTTTCCTTGCATAAAATCAGGGATTTGGAATACTTAAATTATCATATTTTATAACTACCACTGAAACAAAGACCTCTAGCAAATTACATTTTTCCTCAATGAAAATATTTTATAGGGCATGTTTTGGAGACACAAGAAGCTTTAAAATAAAAGCTCCTCTCCCCACACCCTACCTCCCAAGCCCTAGAATTGACAAGCTTATTTCTTTTTTCTTTTTTTTTTTTTTTTTGAGTCGGAGTTTCGCTCTTGTTACCCAGGCTGGAGTGCAATGGCGCGATCTCGGCTCACCGCAACCTCTGCCTCCTGGGTTCAGGCAATTCTCCTGCCTCAGCCTCCTGAGTAGCTGGGATTACAGGCACACGCCACCATGCCCAGCTAATTTTTTGTATTTTTAGTAGAGACGGGGTTTCACCATTTTGACCAGGATGGTCTCGATCTCTTGACCTCATGATCCACCCACCTCGGCCTCCCAAAGTGCTGGGATTATAGGCGTGAGCCACCGCGCCCAGCCTACAAGCTTATTTCTTTAGCAAGAAGTATTACAATTGGATAAAGAGAGCAGAAAGAAAAAGGAAAGTATTAAATATGGAGCCTAAACAGTTAATAATGATTGGATTTCAGAAAATACACTAAGGCATTACATTTTGTTGGCAAATTGCTTTCTAGAATGTTTTGTTATCACATTTAAAAAGTGGATTTTATATCAAAAGTAAAGATTGGAAAGCATCTGTAAAATTAGTAGCTCAGTATTTTTATTTATAGGGAGAAAGGGCTTTTTATTGCTTAAAATGTATGGCAGATGGGAAGAGACGATTCAGGTTGTTGTCAGTCAGATCTTTTTCAAGGACTATACTTGGGCCATTGCTGTTTTGATCTTGTTCAACGGCAATTCTACCAGTTCAAAATTTTGGAGGTAATTCCTTAGGTGTAATATACATTTTTAAAAAATGGTCTTAACATCCAATCATGCTGTTTAGTATCCCACCCAGACTTCAGTGTATTAAAATATTATCTGTTAAAACCAATAATCTGATAATATGTCACCTAACAGGATAATTAAAGAGAAAGCAGCTTGAAGTTGAGTTTCTTTTAATTCCAGGTACCTTGGTTAATGGTACATCTTGTAAAAGATCTTTAAATCTATTCATTATCAGCAACGGATCTTTAAAAAATATTGCTCAAAAGTACTCTAGAAAATAAAATTTACTTCATCTTTTAGAGGTAGGTAAATGACATAATGTTCCTTTCATATTATGTACAAAATTACTATGAATCGGTGTCAAAATGAAATCAAGACTAATTCACAAATATTTTAATAGGATTTCTTTTTTAAGGATCAATTTTTACAGTTATGTGTTAAATATCAAAATTTTAAATGTATACAAATATACAAATAACTTATACTAATTTTTTAATTCTCTGCTGGGCACAGTGGCTTATGTCTGTAATCCCAGGACTTTGAGAAGCCAAGGTAGGCAGATCACTTGAGGTCAGGAGTTTGAGGCCAGCCTGGCCAACATAGTGAAACCCCGTCTTTACTAAAAGAAAAAACAAAAACAAAAATCAGCCGGGTGTGGTGGCAGAAGTCTGCAATCCCAGCTTTTGGGGAGGCTGAGGCAGGAGAATCACTGGAAACTGGGAGGTGGAGGCTGGAGTGACACAAGATCATGCCACTGCACTCCATGCTGGGCAACAGAGTGAGACTTCACCTCAAAGAAAAAAAAAAAAAGCACTTTTTAATTTTCAGGGAAAATAAAAGCTAAGGCTGGTGTTCACAATGTCTATTTATGTTTTGCTCTTCCTGTAAATTTCCCTGTAATCCATTTCTACCTTTTACTCTGCACAAACAAATCTCTTTTTACTTCTTTGCTCTGAGAGTTTTTTTTCTTTATACGGAGTTTCGTTGGAGATTAATTTTTAAGGGAAAAAAAGGAAAAAAAAAAAAAAAAAAGAGAGATGGAATTTTGCTCCTTTGTCCAGGCTCTAGTGAAGTGGCACAATCTGAGTTCACTGCAATCTCCACCTCCAGGGTTCAAGCGATTCTCCTGCCTCAGTCTCCCAAGTAGCTGGGATTATAGATGCCTGCCATCACACCTGGCTAATTTTTGTATTTTTAGTAGAGACGGGGTTTCACCATGTTGGCCAGGCCGGTCTCGAACTCCTGACCTCATGTGATCCGCCTGCCTCAACTTCCCAAAGTGTTGGGATTAGGCCACTCCTTGAGAGCTTTACAAATTCATTTAATCCTTACAGTGACTCTGAGGTAGATCTTTTTAATCTATTTATAGATAAGAAAACCGAAACTGTCAAGAAAATTAAGATCACAGAGTACATTATTAAGTTCAGATTCAAAACCAAACTGGAAAACACACAAACACACACACACAAAAACCAATTAGGACTCCAAAGCCCTAATACATAATCTTTGTACGATAACACACTATGCCATTACATACAGAAAACAAGAAACTTTAATAAACAGAAAGGTATTTTCCAAACTGTGGTTCTCCAGATAACAATGTGTCTCCACGAGGACCATATAAAAAATAAATCCCATAGAAAATGATTACCAACCAAAAACTTGCAGTTAATGTTCCAACTAAAGAAAAACACTCAAAGTAAAAGTATCAGCTATCCTAGGTACTGCTTGGAGGCAACACCAAACATGACACAGAAGTTATTGGAAAAAACTGTAAAACACAATGCTGGGTAGTTATTTTAAATGCTTATTTAACTAATCTTTCCTTAACTGACGGTCTCCGGCAAATGAAAAATGTATTTCAGTCAAATCAGGATTTCTGTTTTGCAAACGGAAAGCCTTATCTATTAAGCATATATTCAGGTTCTTTATTTTCCTGGTAATTTTCAATTCAAATTAAGATCAAACTATATTGACTCTATCAGGTACTGTCTATTTTTTGATAAATTTCAAATTAATGATAAAAATGTATTAACCTGCTGCTCAATTACACATTTATAAACATATTTTAACCACTGATATATTATCAATAAATACAGATTAAATGGCAAGACTTCATTAAGAAAGTGTTTCAAGCTTTGGGTGCCCACGACTTATTTAACGTAACGTGTAAATCCCACCACTACAATAACCACATGGTTAAACGACCACCATTTCCATTAGCAAGCTTAGTCCTAATAACTGATTTCCTGGGACTTCAGCACAGAGGTTTTCTAATTTTATTCCTCCACTCAATGTGCCTATTCTCCCTTATCTGTTCACGCTGGCAAAGCTTCTAGTTAAACTGGAATTGGTAACTATTACGATGATAATAAACATATATTGAGTGCTTCCTATGCCGCAGTTAATTCTCACAGTTGGTAAAAGTGTGGCACAGAAACGTTAAGCAGCAGAGGCAGGGTTTGAACCCAGGAATTCTGGTTCCAGGGTCCGCATTCCATCTACAAAGGTGAGTAACCTTAAAAGATTCCTACTTCTACTGCCACTGCTTTCTAATAAATTTTTTTTCTCTTCCAACTGTTTAAATCTCTTTCTCTATTTAAATATTAGGCGTCTACCTAACTGTACGACATCTTTAAAGAACCTAACAAAGGAAAGCTTTAGTTGTCTTCACCTGCACACATACCGCTCTGCCCACAAATTTGGCAATCCAGTTCTGCCTGATTCTAAACTGCTTGTTTCTTGAAGCAAATGCCTTAAAAAGTGACTTTGGAATCTGGATGGTCATCTCCATCCATCCTCCCTCAGAAAAACAACTATATTAGAGTAATTCTTGGGACCACTGAGAACAAGACATAGGCCTTTGGGTAACTGCAAGACAAAAAAGGAAAAAAGTGGGGGAAGAGGAGGGGGGAGAAGGTGTGGGAGAATGAATTTCCCCTTCTAAACATTGAGTATAAAAGGGCTCAGAAAGGGGAGAAAGAATCCTAAAAAGCAAGGTGCGGGACTGAGTGAGGGACCACACATTGGGCGCTCAGCCCAAGGGGTCCGGCTCCTTCTCCGCGGCGATGGCGCATCCTCGGGCTCAGCAACCCTCAAGACACCTAACCTCCTCCTTCTCCAGCCTGCCCCTCTGGGGCCCAGGAGCCCCGTGCCGGGTCGGTGGTCTGAGGCCCTGCCATGTAGGACCCGGAAAATGACCCCAGGCTCCAAGCGGAGTGCGCCGCCAGAGACCGGCTGCGGCTGGGGGCGGGGGCCGGCAGTTGCTCGGAGTTCCGGCGGGTCAGGAGGTGACGGGAGGAGGAGGAGGCAGGAGGAAGAAAGGGGGGTTGGGAGGTAGCGTCCGGTTGGTCGGCGCAGACAGCGCTGCTAAACCTCCGACTCCCCTAGTCCTGCCGCCGCCGATAGCCCCACAAGGCGAGGAGGGAAGTCCGCCGGAGCAGAGGGAAGAAAATTCAAAACGAGTCTACTCAACCTCGTCTTGGCTCCGAGGCCCCGCCATGGAGACCAGCATAATGCGCAGGCGCATCCCACCGGGAGCGCGCAGCGCAGTCCCACGAGATTAGGACCACTATCGGCCACCGTCGCCCGTTTCCTCTCTCATCCGTTCTTTTTTTTCGTATTTCCGCCTCTCGCCTCCCAGTAAAACCCGCGGTTGGAGGCGAGACAGGAAAAATCTCTGCGGAGTGAGACTCTGGTTGGGAATATGTATGAGAAAAGAAAAGGGACAAGGCGTTAGGCAAAGCTGAAGACAGAGAAAATTTGGTATCTGGCTGGAGTCTGGAGGATTTAATGCAAATTAAGATACCCCGTGGGCAGCAGGGCGAAGAACTACAATTCCCAATGGTCACAGCGTTTGAGAGAGATGCTTTCTGAGACTTGTAACTAGGAGCTGTGTTTGAACTATCCAGGCTCAGGACAGCCTCTTGAAAAAAAAAATATTAACAAAGCGGATTTCAGTGGGATCTTACTGTATCTTCCTAATCGATAACAGGCCCACTTGTATGGGAAGAATTCTAACAATGATTAAAGGAACATAACTACCTTTAAGTCTATGCTTTTCTAATCGATGATTCTTAAATCGAGGAGTAGGTAGTCGATGTTTGTGGTCTGGGCGTCTGTAGAAGGGCGGCCTCGTGTTTTCTGCGGAAGAGAAAAGCAGAGTCCAGGCTTTGACTGCAGCTCCTCGCTTACCTGTGCAGTCTAGTTTTGAGCTGCCTCCTTGTAGTTCTAAAAGACAGGATCTCCCTGTTGTGGGTCTACTAACTCGTTTCCGTGGGAAAGTCTTGTGTGTACTCCTCGCCATGGCTCAACTGCAAACACGCTTCTACACTGATAACAAGAAGTAAGTAAGCGTTCCACCCTTCGCTCCCTTCCCCAGGGTCTTTTCTGACCACTCCTTTGGTATGACCTTGTGGATCCCTAGTTGTTCCTGCTGTCACCTTTTTTCTGAGATTACCTCCTTTCTAACCAGCTTCGCAGGTTCTTTATAATTTGAATTGTGAGTGTGGAGGAGACTTTTAGAAGGGCTTCAGGTTTGCTTTCTGAATGAAACGTTGTATATGTGTAATTTAACAACGAGCAGTGGGTGGGCCTTGTCGTTATAGGGTGTCTGCTGGTGGTGGTTCACGGTTTTTGAAAACACGTTTTCTTTCTTTTTTCGTTTTTTAAAAGGTGATAGAAGATGCTTTTCGAAACCAGGCTAGAAAGTGGAGCTCTGAATATGGGGTTATGGTAGAATTGGTTCTTGATAAGTGTGAGGTCAATTTAGTTACTGATTTATTTTTATTGATACACGTATGTAATATCAACACATTTTATGCTTTATCATGTACTTGTATATGTCATATTTACTAACATATAAATGTAAACATATTTACCATTTGTATGTATCTATATATAGATATATAAACATTTTAACAGTGGTCTCAAGGTCTGTTGGCACTCATTCGAAAACTAATTATATGCTGCCTTGTGGTATATATTGCGTTATTAGTTTTCTTTGTGTTTGCCTGGCCTCTTCCAACTATATTGGAAGCCTCTTGAGGGCAGGGGCTATGTATTAAGCTTCTTGGATTGGCTGAGTCAACAATGTTAAATTTTTCAGTGAAAATAATAATAAATATTTGTTGTATTAATAAGCTAAAGTTATCCATAAACTAGGAAACTCCCACCTGAATTATACTTGTTATTTTGTTTGTACCTTTATGAGGAGAGCTCATAAATCATCTTCTCTTGTATTGTTGCTTACAGTATACATAAATCGTATTGTCAATGTATGTGAGTATATATACTTATATAGCCTTAATACTTCTCAAGGAATGTGGTGATGCGTTAACATAACCACTGCATTTTTTTTTTTTTTTTTGAGACGGAGTTTCACTCATGTTACCCAGGCTGGAGTGCAATGGCGCAATCTCGGCTCACCGCAACCTCCGCCTCCTGGATTCAGGCAATTCTCCTGCCTCAGCCTCCTGAGTAGCTGGGATTACAGGCATGCACCACCATGCCCAGCTAATTTTTTGTATTTTTAGTAGAGACGGGGTTTCACCATGTTGACCAGGATGGTCTCGATCTCTTGACCTCGTGATCCACCCACCTCAACCTCCCAAAGTGCTGGGATTACAGGCTTGAGCCACCACGCCCAGCCTACCACTGCATTTTTTAATTGAACGTAGGATTTTTTGTTTTTCTTAAAATAAAAATTTTTTAAATATATGGTTTTTTTTTGTTTGTTTTGTTTTGTTTTTTTTTTTTGAGACGGAGTTTCACTCATGTTACCCAGGCTGGAGTGCAATGGCGCGATCTCGGCTCACCGCAACCTCCGCCTCCTGGGTTCAGGCAATTCTCCTGCCTCAGCCTCCTGAGTAGCTGGGATTACAGGCACGCGCCACCATGCCCAGCTAATTTTTTGTAGTTTTTAGTAGAGACGGGGTTTCACCATGTTGACCAGGATGATCTCGATCTCTTGACCTCATGATCCACCCGCCTCGGGCTCCCAAAGTGCTGGGATTACAGGTGTGAGCCACCGCGCCTGGCCTATGTTTTGGTATTTTTTTAGAGACAGAGTCTCACTCTGTCACCCAGGCTGGACTGCAGTGGTGCACTGTTGGCTAACTGAAACCTCTGTCTCCTGGGCTTCAACAATTTTCCCACCGCAGCCTCCGGAGTTGCTGGAATTACAGGTATGTGCCACCAAGCCTGGCTAATTTTTGTATTTTTAGTAGAGACAGGATTTTGCCTTGTTGGCCATGCTGGTCTCAAACTCCTGTCCTCAAGTGATCCACCCAAGTAGGTCTCCCAAAGTCCTAGAATTACAGACATGAGACACTGTGTCCAGCTTTGAGATAATTGTTGATTTATATGAAATTGTAGGAGATAATAGGCCGCTGTGTTTTAACCCCTGAAATGAATGGATACATGTCATATGTGTATGTTTGAATTTAGGTCCTCCAAAAGGTAAAAAAAAAAAAAAAAATGTAGAAATTGAAATTCTTGGCTGGATGCTGTGGCTCACTTCTGAAATCCAGCAGTTTGGGAGGCCAAGGAGGGCAAATCACTTACCTTGGGAGTTCAAGACCAGCCCGAGCAACATCGCGAAACCCAGTCTCTACCAAAAGTACGAAAAATTAGCGGGGCATGGTGGTGCCCACCTGTGGTCCCAGCTACTTGGGAGGCTGATGTTGGAGGATTGCTTGAGCCTGAGAGGCAGAGGTTGCAGTGAGCCAGGATCCGTGCAACAGCATGCCAGCCTGGGGAACATAGTGAGACCCTATCTTAAATAAATAAATAAATAAATAAATAATAAAATTCTTGCTTTTTCTTTTCACTTAATATTTTGGTCAGTAAAATTGGGGGGGGCTAATATAATTGTCTCACACACATACTCAGACACACACACAGAAGAATATACATATATGTAAATACATATATGTGAATTATATACATAAATATATAGCCACAGCCTTATTGTTCTAAGTATGGTTTGAGGATCATCAGCACTGTATTTGCAGAGTTGTGCAGACATCACCACCATCAGTTTTAAAACATTTTTCATCATCCTTTAGCTGTTTATTAAATAATACCCCCAGCCCTATCAATCTGCTTTCTATTTCTGTAGCTTTATCTCTTCTGGACATTTTGTATAAATGGAATTATATAATGTGGTCTTTTGTGAGTGGCTTCTTTCACTTAGTATGATTTTTTTTTAATTGTTTAATTATGTCATAGTATCTATTAGTATCTCATTTCTTTTTATGACCAAATAATAAGCCATTGAATGGATCTACCATATTTTTTCATTCATCAGTTGGTGGGCATTTAAGTTGTTTCCACCTTTTAGCTATTACGAATAGTTTTGTAAACATTCATGTATAAGTTTTTGTGTGGATGCGTGTTTTCATTTTTCTTGCATATATACTTAGAAGTGGAGTTTTTGGGTCAGATGTAATTGCATGTTTGACTTTTTGAGGAACTGCCAGAATGTTTTCTAAAGCAACTGCACCATTTTATATTACTGCCAGCAATAATCAGGGTTCCAATTGCTCCATATTTTCACTGACGCTTGTTATTATCTGTCTTTTTAATTATAGCACCCTAGTGGGTGTGAAATGGTTTTCATTGTGTTTGATTAGCATTTCCAAGATAACGATGAACATTTTTATGTCCCTATTGGCCATTTTAAAAACCGCATTGTCAAAAATGAAAAAAAAAATAACAAAAAAAGAAAAAAAATTGCATTGTCTTTTTATTATTGAGTTGTAAGTGTTCTTAATGTAGTCTAGATACGAGTTCATTATTAGATAGATGATTTGCAAATATTTTCTCACAGTCTCTTATGAGTCTCCTAGCCTGCCCCTGTAATGTGTTCCTCTAATTTAGTCTCCATTTTGCAGCCAGAAAGATCTGACTAAATAAAATTCTGTTATTTCCACTTTGCACTGCTGTAATAGTTCTTCCTTGCCCACAAAAAAGAAGTAAAAATGATTTCACATGGTATATACAGCACTCCATGTGTACCTCTTTAGCCTTTGGTAACTTTAGAGCAAAATTGGACTTTCTGGAATAGGTTGGGTGGGCAGTTTAACAACTCCCAGCTATTGTTTTGATGTTCTCGCTGCTTTCCTGCACACTACTTCTTCCATACTATCCTTCCCTCACCTGGCAAAAACTCACTTTTCTTTTGAGACAGGGTCTTGGTGTGTCACCCAGGCTGGAGTGCAGTGCAGTGGTGTGATCTTGGCTCACTGTAGCCTTGACCTCCTGGGCTGAGGCAATCCTCCCACCTCAGCCTCCCAAGTAGCTGGCACTACAGGCACATGCCACCACACCTGGCTAATCACTTTTCTAATGTAGCTTAACAGTTATCTTTTTTGTGCATCCTTTCAGGCCCTGCTCTGCTGCCCTCCTTTTCTCTGGTTAAAATGACCTATGATGTCTTTGTTCTCTTTGTACA